TAGTGAGAGCGTGAGTTTCCGACATATTCAACTACATCTGATGAAGTGTCGTAAATCAGTTTTGTTGCTCTGAATTTTGTGATCTATAGTTTGCTCAATTCGATGATCAGATTAATTTAGTTTTGAACATTAGTATTATATTATATTATATGAAACGAGTGCAAATCAAATTCAGGATGAAGGAAATTAAAAAGGCAGAACTTCAGGTTAATTTCAAATTCGCTACAAAACCAAAAAAACTTTAATATGTATCACTGGAAAGGGAGAAAAATAAACTTCGATCTCTAAGCACTATATGTTTGATATAAATTCTCGGTTTTTTTTTTCAGGTGATGCTAACAAGGACCATATCAGAATGGAAATAAACAGCAAACAATATAACTATGATACTGCCATCAACCCAGAACATGAAATCCTTAAAAACCTCATGGCTCCAGAAACCCATTTTCTGCAAAATCTACAAACTTCGCACTTCAGACTATCGTCATTGCTGAGCAATCCTGCTCCAGACACATTAATAGCAAATACTCCTATTATTTGTTCTCTCGATAAACGAAGTTCAGATCTAAACATGGAGATTCCACAATATACCTATTGTTATCAACAATCTGCAATGATCAAAGACTGCTGCTCTTCATTCAAGGAATCAAAAACCGTACAAACTCAAACGTCTTCAACATCCGAAATAACAACGGCTGTTCAGGTGAAGCCAAGCATACAACGGGAAAATCTACAAAGACACATTAATTTCGATTTTAAGTCATTGGAACTAAAGAATCCGACAATTTCTGTTAGAAGTCGACTTTTGAGTAATGAAGATGAGGATCACAACGGAGAACAGAATCGACATTTGAGTGATATCGAACTTCTCCGACAAGTATACGACGAACTACGACATAAAATAAGCCAAGCGTAAGTTAAATGAAGCAGATCTAAGCCAAAAGTTTGACTTATTCATATAATAATAAGAAATGCCTTAAAAATGTAGTCCCAAGCATGCTGCACGGATTTCCTATAGAATAGAGAGGAGTCTAAAAATTTGTATTCAAATAATAAATCCATCCTTCAATTATGTATCTGCGTATTTGCGGAGTTCTAACATTTTTTTTAGAATAATTCGATTTTTTGATAAATTATTACTAAGAGATCTCCTTGTTTAGTTCACAGGATCAAAAGATGGAAAAACTAAAAATAAACACAGGGATCAGTTGGAAAGAATGCTTTCTCGGTGAACGAATGCGAAGATGGGGTCTTTGGTTTATTATCACCTTCTTGGTTGCGATGACTATTCGAGATATTACTCTGCTGGTAACATCTCAATTATATTTGGAAAATATAGTGGAATTATCAAAGAATATCTTACTTCACAGGAATTTTCCAAATAAAACATATTTTCAGAATTATCGCATTTTCTGTAATACCTTATCCGATATGAACAAATTGAATATATATGATGGCTGTGGTTCAGGAATAGAAAAATTTGAATAAATCTACTTAGATGATAGAATACATGGAATATCCGAAGCAGTCAGATATGAATATAATGTTCAATGAATCAATGTACATGCCAAATATTACATTTTGCATGTCGAGACAACAGGCTTGGAGCCATCTTCCTCTTAATAATTCAGGATTGACTGATGAGTGGGACAAAAGAGTAGAGGTAAGCTGAAAGGAGAAATACGGAGTTCGAGAGAAATTAAATAAGACTAAGTAAATGAATTTCTTTCAGAAAAATTTTTTATGATATTTCAAACTAATTTACTAAGAGTATTTCTGAAAAATCATATCGCACTTTCACGATTTTCACTCGAATTTTTGAAGAATTTAAAAGTGACTTGCATTGTAGCTAAATTGATTCTCCATCCAAGTTGATGATGTTTTCAGTTAAGTAAAATAATTTCCCTTCATGTAAACTTGTAATTATGCTTGGTATTCAGGCTGAACTCAAAAAATTGAATTCTCGAGAAAGATTTCTGGATGAAGTCTGGGACTATCGGCTAATTGTTGAAGCATATGAGGTAATCGCAACACTGAACAGTATGGAACGAGAAACGACAGCACAAGGATCCGCTCGGTCCATCAATTTTTTTCGTACTCAACCAAGACTTCGAGCTAAACGAGCAATGGTTAAGGTTAATTAAAACTGGTATCTTTAGTTAGCCGTCCCTAATTTATCTATTTAAATTGTTGTAGTGCTAAAATTAAACATAACTATTTAATTTGAAGCTGTATTATGCTCGAACTATCACTCTCACTTTTCAAATCTTAAACTAACAATGTAAATCTATATTTTAGAGAGATGGAATAAATATTAAGAAATATATAAAATGTTTAATGTCAAAAAATCGCGTTTTAATAGATAAAAAAAATTGACTAAAGTATTCGTTAGTAGATAAGTGATCGTAGCCAAAAGAATCTCTATGGAATGAAAACATAGCACTATTTGTAGGCATGGTTAAATGAAATTAAGCATCGTGGTGTAACATTCGAAGAATTGACCCAGAAAGTTGGCTTGGAAACTATTAAATATTCAATACGACGATTCCAACGGACAACATTTAATGAAAGCATGAAAATTAAAACCAGATTTAGAACCTCCTGGATTTCAACAATGCAGTTTTGCTTTCAACCATGGTTTGATGCGGACAATTACTTAGAAATAAGAAATCAGGTATAAGATTGAATTAGTCCTCAATCCCCCATCCTCTCCATTTCTCACAACTAATGCAATGTACTAAGAAACATTATAAATCTTGATTAGAACTCATTTGTAAAAAATTCCATACTCTTCAATCCAAATATTTAGAAAATCATGTAAATCTAATTTTAAAAAAAATTTAATTTAACGATAGTAATAATAAGAAAATTAGAATGAGATGAAAAGGTGGCCTGAAATATCTTTATAATACAACTTAGGTCAGAAATCATCGTAGTTATGACGATAACAGTAAAATTTTTCATAATGATGAAATGCAACAATGTAAGCATCAAATCTAAGAAATTAGATGTTTCACTTAAGCATAAGAAAAACTTAACTTTAGGTTCTGAAATAAATTTTAGGTGAAAACATGATTCAAACCAAATTACCTTTACCACTTAATCTATTTTTAGGGAAATTTCTTTACGATGCTACTATTGCATAATGCTGGTAATCTGGAAGGAGCTAATATCGCCTGTATGTCTGTTGATTTTCATGGACGACCCAGTTCATTATCACGATTCATGGAAGGTCAAGGTCGAGCGCGAGATGGATTTAATGATGACGTATATTTCGAAGAGTTATTTTACTCTTTTCATTACGGATTATTGTGATATTTATTAATTCCCCTTAATATTTCGGATATGCAAACAAGAAAATATGTTTACTCGTCTAAGGACAAATTCCATAAAAAAATTATTTGGATCAAAAAAAGAAACTAATTTTAAGTTATGCCTTGGTATCCGGCATGAAGTAACAGTCGATGTACGCGCAAGATATGTGATGCTTGAAAATGATGACAATGGTACGGCATGTCGTAACGCTATTAAAAAAGAAAACGAATTCGACTGTAGATCCAGATGCCGCATGGAAATGATCAGAGTAGACTTTAATTCTTGTAACATTAGTCAGATAGCAAAAACAGTCTTTTTTCTTGACTGACAATGAAGTTTTATTGTCAACTTCAAGTTACCAACTTTGTTCGAATCTGGGTTTCAATTGACAAATTAGACTTATCGTCTTGGAATTCCGTCATTATTAGATAGCCAGATTTAAACAGGAAATAGTGTTTACTTGTTTTCAATATGTAGTGACGAAAATGAACTATATTTTCAGGATATCTGCAAATGCACGCCACCTACTTTGAGTTACCTTGTAAGAAATGAAAACGAATACAATGAATTCCCAATTTGTGATTATGAAAAATGCAAAATCGAGTGAGCATTTCCAAAAATATCAGCAAAAATTATGCAAACATAAGAAAGGTCTCATAAATCAATGTGTGGGCCTTAAATATCCCTGATCTTCATGCTGATAGCTGATGGAACTCTATTAATTCTATTTTTCTAATTTTTCTAATTAATTCTAATTCTATAATTCTATTCTAACTCTTGGAGTTCTTTTGGTATTATTCACTATTTTAGTGTTAAAAATATCACACATTCGGATCATCAGTGTACTCGAAAGTGTTATCGTTCTTGTGATCAAACCACTTATGAAGTAAGTCACGTACAACATGGCAAAATGTTTCACCGTGGTAAGTTTTCGCTTAGCAAAAAATGTAATGAAACAAAACAAAATGGATTGAAAGATTTTTAGTAAAAATTAAAACAGATTTTATTATATAGAAAAGAAACAAATAAAATCAACAAAAATTATTTTAAAGTGATAAGAAATTTAAGGATCATAATATACACTTCTATAACTTACTTTCAGACTTCACAATAATTAATTTAAACTGGGGTTCGTTTGAATATCTTACCTTGAGTCAGTACTGGGTATGGTCAATGCCAACATTTATAGCAGCACTTGGTGGATCCATGGGAGCATGGCTTGGACTTTCAATTCTTGGTCTAATACAGGTAAATGCAAATATTTAGTAATTACTGAATCTAATTCAAAACTCGACAAATTCCTTATATCTGATTTAGGGTAGCACTTACCTATACACCTTCTTAACTACAACAATCAAAAACAAGCGCTCGCGACTGAGAAATTGGAGCTAGAGCGGCCCTTCAATTACCTACACCGAAGATGTCATCATGTGCTGCAAAAAAAAAAGAATCAACAAGTCTAGAAATGCCCTAGCAGAAAAAGTCTCAAAAAAATATAAACCAATTTAGTAATTAAAGCAATCAGTATCTGCTAACTGATTGCAAGTTATTTCTACTTTCATTTTTAATTCATTTAAAAGTTGAAATGTCAGAATTTGCCAACAAAGTAGTATTGAAAGCTGTTAGCTGCACATATGCTTCCCAAAAGAAATTCACAGCAAATGTGTAAAATTATTTTGCCGATGTCAATTTAAACCAATCGTAGTTTGGCCACACCTGATTTTAAGAACCCATCAACGTATTTTCGAGGAAATCCAAACTCCCCGAATATATTTTACTCCAGTTCGGCAATATACAATTACTGTCATTTTCAATCAACAAATATCTAAGTTAGCTTGGAAATTCCAGCAATCCTCATTTTTCAGCAAAGATTTCTCGGAATGTAAGAGAAAGATAAAAATAAATTTAAAATCGCATTCGGTGAGGGTACAGGAAAGTTTCGTCTCTCTTATATTTATCTTTGAATAAATAACTTTATTAATAATTTGATTAACTCATCTAAAATTAGATAGATGAAAATGTTGTTTCCCGCTGTTTTACCTTTTGTTTAACACATTCTATATTTGTTCACCAATTTTCCTAATTACTTATTAGTATAAATGAAAAATATTTGTAAGCACTTTATAAGACTCTGTTAATTCAATTACACAATAAAAGTACCCTTTTCTCATAACTGTTCTCCGGGTTTTTAAGTCTTTTACATGATTATTCATATCATAGCCTACCTTTGAATGGTGAAAGTTGGATTTGAGGAAGAGTGCTTTGTTTTCCCTTCCGCCTTAGCCATAGCTGGCTGTTTACCAAGAACTAAAAATGAAAAATAGATGGAAAACATGCTATTAATTAAATAAAAATAAATAAAAAACATGCTATAAACATGCTATTTCTCTATTAATATATTAAATTGTGCAATACTCATATTTTTTAATACTTGCTACTTTGATGAATCCTGTCGTCAAGTTAATCTAATCACAAGGAAAAGACTCTGTAATTACATACTATGCAATTTCAATATCTTATAATGTGTAAACCCCTTAATCAAAGGATAAACGATAAAATTAAGGTCACAGTCTAAGTTAATTTAAGTGGTATAACAATTCTAAATAAGATTCAAATGCATTAACGACTCTTAATTGATGCAAAAATTTACGATGAAATCACTCACCAAAATTGGCATGACATTTTCGGATATGAGCTTCATAATCGTGATCAGAAACACCTTCCAAAGGTAATGTTTGGCAAACTCTATTTGGCCCATAACTGAAAGCAGATCACTTGTTTCATGATTTAACCACAGCCTCAAAATAAACCGGACACTGGAAAAATTTCGATCAAGTTCAGTTAATGTTAATAAAGATGAGATGGGATGATTCATCAATTGCAAGTTCGAGCTTCCCTATGGATGATCACGTTTTGTTGAGTTTGGCGTATACGATCAGAGTAATATCCGGAAATCCACAAAATTGAATGGATTAATGCAGTTCTCACTGTTTTTGGATGAGACAAACAATAAAAACACATACCGACATATGAATGATCCACCTTCTTTAGTACAATGCATAGCCCGTAGATGTTGAGCAAATTCCAAACGATCAGAAAATTTTTTCACGGCTTCAGTGCATAAATCACAGTAACGTGGATATTCAGCATCACAGCGATAATTGTCACCTCCATGACTTCCGCCTACTATTTGGGTTGATGATGTTGGAAGCATTTTGTGCATCAATTCCGATTCGTAATTTTTCCCGTTGTTTAATTTTCATTAAATTCCTAGAATTCATTAAATTCCTAATTTAATATTACATTGCATTTTGGTGGAATATTATTCCACTAAACATTAACGAATATCACTATAAGCGTATTATTACAATTATCCCTATCTAATCTGTAGGTTTATTATTAATAAATAAATCCTTGAAATTTTATTACCATCCATTTTGATTTCTAATAACCACTCCTATTATTTTTATTGACTCTAATGAGCCATTTTCTAAAGGTCCATCCATCTCAGACTTATTGATGCATAAAATCTAACTTAGCAATAATACCACTTCTAAATTTTGAAATAGAACCGCTTGACGAATGAATTGATCGTAAAATGTTAATTATAAGATATAAAAACAATTAAATATTAAGTGTGCAACGAGTAACGAAACAGTTGCAATAGAAAATTATGAGATGATTGTGATTATAAGGCAGTACGAATTAATTAGGGGAAGTGATTAACGCGAAGGAAGTTGATTGTTGAATTAATTGATTGATTCATAGCACAAGGTGATTCTCTTGACTGCGCTATCCAATTACAAACCTCGATCATTCCAATATGAGACGACAAATGTGTTTACTATGCTATTCAATTCTTATATAAAACTCCCCCGCTAAGTATCAATTGGTTGATATCGAAAAACGTTATCAAATTAACAGGCAAAAAAATGTGAAGTTGTCATACCCCTAAACCGAATCGCATAATGGCAACCTCCAAACCGGACCATTTAGACCGGAGTGTTGGCATAGCAACTGCTCTATGCCACATCTCAAAATCTTAAAAAGCTGATAATAAAAAATAAATTGCTCTTTGGAATTATGGCAGTAGTATTATCTGTACTCGAAACCTTTATCCTTCGTAATCAATCTTTTCACGAATTCATAGGAAACTTTGACGATGGTAATTCCTAAGGTATTGAGATAAAAATCGTCATTACAAGGTAATCAATTAGATCCGAACGACAAATCTCAGTAGTATTATCTGTACTCGAAACTTTTATTTAAGTACGCGCATGACTAATTTCCGCATACGTGTTAGACATAAGCCTGAAATATGAACTTAGCATACTATCAGATACAGATTATATCGTAGCACTTTACCCACTATTCTGCTCACACCTTCTTTAATGATAGTTTTTATATATCGTATCACATCACGATAAACAATGTGACTTAATTCAGCGAGAACTGTTTTCTTCTGCACTTTATTTCCAAATGTTTGTAATTATGAGCACCTGATGAATTTGCTTTGTCATTATCACTTTAGATGTACCACAACGGATATTCTTTTAAAGCAGAAGACCAATTTTTTAAATTTAAATTTGTTTGCCAGATTGCAATTATGTAGGTTTAAATATCTGACACCGAAAATACAACTTCTGCAATTCACACATCCTTCACTTTTTCATCGATAAAACATGCATATGAGTATCATTTCACATCAAGCTATACTTGTTTTCTCGGTTTTGTTTGCAGTTAAATTTGATTAGAAAAGTCACTGAAATGCTATCAGAAAATTGTTTGTTTATGAATGAAACAAAGTTCACATCGACTGGTTTCAGATGTGGGGATGACCTGCTCATTGATAGTGCTCGTGTATGATGAATTTGTCATTAGTTATTGTTTTTTGTAAGTTGAGAATGAAAGCAATTAATCGGATTATTGTTTTAAACAATAGAATGGTAAATAGAAAAAAGATTAGACTCTAAATGTTTGATTAATTCGACCATAATTTGAAATCGTATGATATTATCTGCTAGTAAGATTCTGGGAATTTCCAACATTCATTTTTCCTCAGCCGTTTAAAAAAGCTTAGTTTGGAACAGCCATATCATTCCGCAATTCTCAGTTTAGGTTTCCGGACATCAACTACAAACTTACGCTTACCCAATAGTTGACAGAAAATAGTGGGGTCAGCGGTGCTTTATCATTGTAAAAGTGAGCTTCTTTCCTCCCTGTCAGCAGTTTGTTCATCACACCAAATACTAATTATATTGGCAAGTTGATGATCGTAATATTTTCCAAATTACTCCTCACAGTTTATTCGAGTCACTTCAACATATTTTCTGCTAGTTCCACAAAGTACTTAGATTTCGTTCAATAAGAGTTACGGTATTATTGTAATATAACAAATCAAGATGAAGTCGCAATAAAGAATTACTGCCATATTATCAAGACTCCCCATCTAGTCCAACCACATACGGGCATGGATCCTTGTTGTCTATAATTATTCGTTCTGTGGCCAGAAATGACCAGAAATATATTCGTAAACCGCATGAAGGAGTTGAGGTTAAAACAATCACCAAATACTATCCTAATCCATCAAATCTCCCTGATCGGGAATGAGGAAAAGCAACGCTGTTCAGCTTTATTCAGCCATGAAGGCTGACGATATGGTCGCCTTCTACGCTAATGTGACAAATATATGACAGAAACTTTCTAAACATTAAAATTTTAGCAGAACGTCTATAAATTTGCGGAAAAAATTTTATTTTAGTTCCACCATGTCACAATAAAAAGGGTCAATTCCTAATAGTCAGATTTTCCAGGAGAAAGGCTATTTAAGGCTGATATTCATGCTGAACGATGAGAATGAAAATAAAAGAATGAGAAATGTAACTATCGAAAAACAGGTGAAATGAAATTTAAGGACAAAATGAAATTTGTAGAATAGGAAACTTTTTTATAACAAGAAAGGATTTCACAAAAATAAATAAAGTGTGCATTAAAGCAAACAACGTGAGAATTTCGTCTGTTATCAACGGCACATTTCTTTAACATTCAAAACTGACGCATAGAAAAGCGCTTATCCATTTGATGACAGCTTATCTCTATTAAAGGTGGCGGAGAAAAAGGGAAGACAGCAAATGCTATCGCAATCGACGCTGTCTCAGAGACTGGTTGAATTCTGGCCATAGTGCTTTGTTGAGCTCTTCCTTATCAGCAATGGCTCAGAATTAAAAAAATTGAAAGCAAGAGATGATGAAACACAAGCCCGAACACTTCCTTCCATCGTTCTCATAATCGCAAAAAATTGGTATCACCGCTACATAATAAGATCTCTTTCGGCTGTCAATTTTGTCTTCCAGAATGTCATCGTATCTTCTTCACGTCATACTACTCGTTGCAGGTTCCGCTTTGATTTGCAAAATGAATTCCCAATAACACTTCTCCTAGCAGGGAATTAAACTAAATTACATAACACGTTGTTATCACAGCCAGAACAAACGAATAGCCAACGATAGTGAAAAGTAAACCAATGAAAGACAATAATTATTCTTAGCAATTTTGGTCTTTTCCTTTATTGGTTAACCGAATTGAAACTATTCTAAGAGCAACATAATAAAAGTTAGAATAAATTTGCGCATAATTACAACGTATTTCTCATCCTTACACTCGTCATTTCAGTATCGATGTTTGAAAATGGTACCATACATGTGTGTGAAATAAAAGCTGATGGCAATCTCCATGTAAGACGCCTTGACCAATATGCCAAAGTACCAAATCGTTTCAATTTTCCATTGCAATTTATGAAACTTCCAAGAAATGGTAAAAAGTGATATATTTTTTTAAATTTGATTAAATTCAAATTAATTTAACTATTCGAAAACAAAAGTTTAATTGAATTCTTTTTACACTCGTCGAGAAAATTATATGAATGTTATTATCAGTATATTTCTATGCAGTATATTTCTTAAGTTGTTTGCAGATGAAAACAAAATGGAAAGATGGACAATGATGCCACTAATTGTAGAAGAAACGACAGTGCCATCGGTAACACAAGAAACAACGGTACAACCAGTAGCAGAGGAAATAACGACAATGCAACCAGTTACAGAGGAAACAACGGTACCATCAGTTAAAGGGAAAACAACGGCGGTGCAACCACTTACAGAGGGAACAACGGTGCAACCATTTATAGAGGGAACAACGGTGCAACCATTTATAGAGGGAATAACGGAACAACCATTTATAGAGGGAATAACGGTGCAACCATTTATAGAGGGAACAACGGTGCAATTAGTAACAGAGGAAATAACGACAGTGCAATCATTTACAGAGCGAATAAAGATACAACCGATACCAGAGAACACGACGTCATTATGTGTAGAGGAAACAGCGGTGCAACCAGTAATAGAGGAAATAATTGTAGTGCAACCGTTTACAGAGGAAATAACAGTGCAAACAACAGAGAAAACAACGATGTCACCAGTTATAGAAGGAACAATAGTGCAACCAGTAACAAAGGAAATAACGACAGTACAACCATTTACAGAGGTAACAACAATGCAACTATTTACAGAGGCAACAACGATGCAACCATTTACAGAGGTAATAACGGCGCAACTATTTACAGAGGCAACAACGATGCAACCATTTACAGAGGTAATAATGACGCAACCATTTACAGAGGTAACAACGGTGCAACCATTTACAGAGGTAACAACGGTGCAATCATTTACAGAGGTAACAACGGTGCAACCAGCAACAAGGGAAATAACGACAGTGCAACCATTTACAGAGGGTAAAACGGTACAACTAATAGCAGAGAAAGCAACGATCCCACTAGTTACAGAGGGAACAACAGTTCAAAAGAAAACAACGATGTCACCAGTTACAGAAGAAACAACAGTGCAACAAATAACAGAGAAAACAACGATTCCATCGGTTACAGAGGGAACCACAGTGCAACAAAAGGAAACAACAATGCCAACAGTTACAGAAGGAACAACAGTGCAACAAATAACCGAGAAAACAACGATGCCAACAGTTACAGAAGGAACAACAGTGCAACAAATAACCGAGAAAACAACAATGCCAACAGTCACAGAAGGAACAACAGTGCAACAAATAACCGAGAAAACAACGATGCCAACAGTTACAGAAGGAACAACAGTGCAACAAATAACCGAGAAAACAACGATGCCAACAGTTACAGAAGGAACAACAGTGCAACAAATAACCGAGAAAACAACGATCCCAACAGTTACAGAAGGAACAACAGTGCAACAAATAACCGAGAAAACAACGATGCCAACAGTTACAGAAGGAACAACAGTGCAACAAATAACCGAGAAAATAACGATGCCAACAGTTACAGAAGGAAAAACAGTGCAACAAATAACCGAGAAAACAACAATGCCAACAGTCACAGAAGGAACAACAGTGCAACAAATAACCGAGAAAACAACGATGCCAACAGTTACAGAAGGAACAACAGTGCAACAAATAGAAAAAACAACGATTCCACCAGTTACAGAGGGAACGATAGTGCCACCAGTTACAGAGAGAACAACGGTGCAACCAACAGAGAAAACTGTACAACCAGTTACAGAGAGAACAACTGTGCAACCAGTTACAGAGGAAACAATGGTGTCAACAGTTACATGGAAGACACCAATGTCATCGATGTCCAAAAAAACACCGACAAGCAGTGGAATGACAACAACAGCGATGACAGAAGGTAATTGCTTCTTTAATTTATAAGTTTCTTTAAAATTTAAATTAATTTTTCAATTCAGTTTTTATATTCCTTTACTGATCGAATTTCCGTTGCCATTGAAGAAGGCTTTTAATTTAATGTCTGTTTCTAAGTTATTATATACTAATTGCAATTCTCTACAGATTTTTTTCAGATCACAGTTGAAAGCTTTAAAAATAACTACTAAGCTTATTATTGCTGATATTGGGAAAACATGAAGCAATTCTTCATTTTCTTTCGCTTCTCTTTATTACGATATCATTTCAGTATCATCAACACTAATTACCGAAAGCACTTCCGATTGCATCCATAACAATTCATTGGCCATAGCAGTATCATATTTGATAACAAATATCAGCGTTTTATTTTCTCTTTTATTGTTTAAGTATTAAATAAGTCGATAATGAAAAGAAGTATTTATGTATTTATTATTGGGGATTGATTATGCGGAATATTAACTGATTCTATTGTAACTTTCTTTGGATTGTTAGCAGTTGATAGTTTTGCATTTGCGAAATATTTCATTTCCGTAAAAATGAATCTTAACCGGAAAATGAATTAATGGAATAATTAACATTATATTACAACTCCTCAATTACATAAACCGAAATAACGAAATATTTTCTGAATAAATTAGTTTCGATTTCTATACACCAAAATGACAAACCATTCTCTGAGAGATAAGCCTTATTTTATTATTTGAAAAAACATTAGCATAGAACTTAGTATTATTTTCTGATAAATACGATTGACTGCTTCGGTAAAGTTTGACAGTAATTTAATGTTATCTCTCAGATATCTTGGGAGTATTTAATATTATTCTTGCAAATATCAGAAGGCTTTAAAACTTGTCTGAGTTTATTATCTCACGTTCCATTTTAATCTGCGCACATGTTGAAAACAAATACACGCGTACGTATTATACAAACGATCTTTAAATAGCATTTCACCGAATGTATAGATATTTTATCAATCGATAGTACAATTAATAATTGATATTTTCATATTTGACAAGCAAATTGCATACGTTTCCTAACTAATTATCGCAATATAATACTTGTGAACATTGCATGACATGAAAAACGTTGAAATATGATAGTGTAAACAACGATAAATTAAAAAATTTTCAAATTGGATCTGCTTTAAGCGACGAGATAAGGTGCTCGAATAGCGATAGTAATGGAAGTGACAGCAATCACTATCGAAAATAGAATTAAACCGATCCGATCAACGACCATAGCTGCGAATCGCCATTCATTTGCAATTCGTTTCTCTTCGATGATATCATCGGTTTTTTCACGAATATCCTTAATTCGAAATTTTGCAATGAATGATAAGAGTAAACTGAATCATTGTAGAAAATTTCAAGATTATAAAGTCTTGTCATCTATTTTTTAGATAACATAAAAAGAAGTAACGAAGCAAGGAGGATGGAAAATAGATATAAATCATTCAACAGTTCAATTAACTTTGCAAGAATTAGTCTAATTAATTAATTTCAAAAGGTTGCACAAAATAAGCCTAAGCATATTCAAGACAAAGATAGTAAAGAAAGTGAAAGAAAAATGCAAACCTTAACATGCTTATGAATTCGATCAAGTATTTTCAATCGTTGTAACAAATTTTGATCATTTTTTCCATACTGGCTAATTTTCAATTGGAAAATTAAACTTTGAAAATTTTCACGTAATACATCACCAATTTTTTGAATTACCCGCATGTGTCCATCATCCTGAAAATAAATGGTCCATACATTTTAGGAATAATTTGAAATTTACTAGAAAAAAATAAAATGTAACAAGAACGGTGGAAAATTTACCTATCATTCCATTATTATGATAGATATCATAAAAAGCTTTCCGTACGAATTTGAAAAGATAGAAATTATTTTGAACAGAAGAAATAGCTTATTGATTGTTTAGATGTTAAAGAATTTCACAACGAATAAATCTTTTTCAAAATCCTTTTTTAATATTAAAAAAAATTCAAAATTAATTGATCGATAAATCTATGCTTTACTATAATACAACTGTCATCAAATTTTGAAAGGAGTATTTAAAAGTTTAAAAGAGTTATGAGCAAAAACAAACATAAGTAAAGGCAGTTCGATCATCCTCACTCCTATTCTTCCGATCTTTCCAGCCTTGTTTAATTGTTTCCAATGTATTTTCACGTTTCGGATGTTTCATACATAAAATAAACGGCGCCCATTCCAATAATATATATCGCATCTTTGAAGAAGTAAAATATAAAATTATTTGATTAAATCTAAATAGAAGCTATCTTGCTTAAAGCTTTGATTTGAACCATTCCATAAACCAATTTAAAGAAATAAAATTTAAATTTTGTCCTGAATTTATTTCACTTAAATTTTCATCCTAAAATTGAAAACTGACAAGATTTATCTGCCGGATTTGAAATACTGTTAAATTTAAATGATAGAAAATGATTATAATATTAAAGGAAAATGTACCCAAAAATTCATTCTCACTTGCGTATCCGGATTCCGAAAATGAACAGCTTGCACATAAACGGTAAAGGATGTAGCTGCTACCGATATAACCATACAACTTAGGAAAAATATTCCTGAGAAAGAAGATAATTGAGAAGTAGTTGTCATGATTTTACATAAGATCGATCAATCATCCTTTCTACTTATTTGAAATTCAATTTCATTCTTTATTCTTTCTAAGTTATACATTATTTGTTGTGAAGAAACGCTATCGTTAAATATGTTGAAATAAAAGAGATGAAAATGAAATTTGATTTGAAATTAATTTACATAATAAATTTTATAACAAATATATAGCAAGCAAAAAATTAACCTAACAATGGTACCGCTTCAGAAGTAAGTGGCGTCATACCGTTCATTAATGTCAAAAATATGCAAATAGCAAGTGATACTGAGATTTGCAAGCCTACTTTTTCACAGGTATCCGGACTGAGGGTAAATCCAAGTACAATTAATATTAATGTCATCATACAAGGCATTATCAAATTGAATGCGTAATAGCTGGAAATAGTATAATAAAATGTCGGATAATAGATAATATATCGGATATTGTTGAGATTATTGAGAGAATATTCACAGCCAAAAAATTAGATTTGACTTGTTAACATAATTCATTCCTATGATAAAGATTAAAAGTATCAAAACTACGACGATAAATTAATCAAAGTTATATAGTTATTTTAATTATTTATTTTAGTTAATCCTATTTATATATCAAATATTTCTCGAATAATTTGCAAATTTATGCAAAATTTTTTATGCTCAAAGGATATAATATAGTAATATAGAAAATATTGATTGATTTTTGATAAAAAAGAATAAAAATTGAATTCTTATCGCTAATAAGATGAAAGTTTTTTAATGATAATAATAATAATAATAATAATGATAATAACAATAAAAATAATGCTAATAACAATAAAAATTTTAATGATAATAATAATAAGCTAATAAGATGAAAGTTTTTTAATGATAATAATAATATAGTAAGAATTGAATTCTTATCACAGAATTCAATTAACAAAAATAATGCTAATAAGATGAAAGTTTTTTAATGATAATAATAATGTTAAAATATTTAAACATACAGTGTTCTCCTTTTAAGATGAATGAAAAACCGAACATCCGGATATGGTTCCGGACAGCATTCGTAAAATTTTTCATTCCTCTGTTCCCAGGTTTCTAAAAGTTGAAATTATTTTAATGTAGCAATTAATTGCTGGCTTCTATTCTTCACGTACTTGTGTCTTTCTTGATATGAACGGTAATATTATAAATTATAAGTAAAGAGCAGTTAATTATTTTTTAGAAAATTGCTAATTAGAACGAAGAATTTTTGAAGAAGAATGCAATCAAAGTATTTTAACACTTACTAATAATAATCCATTCGCCATTTTCAATGAAATCAGACATATCAAAATCACCCGGTTGAAGATCTATTTCATGACCACTAAATGACCAGGAACCGAACTATAGGTAGTGTTTCGTTTTAATTTCAATTTGATTTAATTTTTATAAAATCAGTCTTACCGAAGTACCATATATATATATATCTTAAATTAATTGTTGAAGGAGTGATCCTAATATAATGAGTAATTTTAGAGGAATATTGAGCGATTCAATAAACATCCTAATTTAAGAATACAAGAATTTTTAACTCAAACAACAAGTAGAAATAAAAGTTATATTTTAATTAAAAAATTAAATAATTCTTTTAAGTTATTATTATTCAAATGGAATACCTTTAAGAAGCAAATTTGTTCATCGAATGGAAACCAATAAATATCAATTTTACATGAGATTTTAAATATTCCTGGTGGTATCCATGTTATGGAACCATCATTATAACTAATTGCATTCACTTTAAATGTGCTATCAAAGGCGGAATCAACACTGAAATGTTACCAATTAATTTAATTTAAGTGTAAAATTCGAAAGCGTTAATTGAAAACATTACTACTTCATAATTGTTTACGCTTAAATTCAATTCATCAGAAGAATTTTATAACTTTAAGTAACTATAAATGTCAGCTAGGCCTAAATATGATCAGAAATAAACTAAGTTTGGACAAAAAATTAGAATATTAAGACTATTCCACCTATTATATAGTAAAATATCGGGTTGCCAAATTGTACCAGCTGGATGTCTTAAATCCGTTACATTTTCATACTCTAATGGATCCCAACGTAATTTCATATCTTTCCAATTATATTTCAACCATGCATTTATCTCCAACTTCTCTTGGCGTTCATTCTACAAATTTTCTTAAAAAATTTGATGAATTTTGAAATAATCAAATATTTGAAAGCATAATATCATTTATCCTTAATGTCGGATAAACCGAAATAAATTTGATACCTTAAAATAAATCGTTACTTGCAATAAACATTAAATTGGTTACAATTGTACGATATTTGTTGTAAAAACCGAATCGTACCAAATCGATAATTTGTTGAAAAATAACGCCAAGTGTCACAACTACCGGATCTTCACTTCGTTCCACCGGTCGTTCCAATGGATTGTAATCATGCATCAAATCATTCCTTAGCCTTAGTTCAGGTGGTGATGCTATGATGCATGTCGCCAAGTACAATAACAACAATAGCATATTGCAACAGAATTTAGAGCTAATAATTTTGCTTATTCTGAATCAAATTTTCATCCATCATTCTGAAATGAATGAAATACATTGCATTTACCTGAGAATATCATTGGCTCTTTAGAAATTTGCATCTTAGTTTCACCTGGCGAGAATTTCCAAAAGCGATGTTGAGCAGTTCAACATTTCTTAATGTTTGTATCTAATCTGGTACAGTCATTACTAATATTGATTGAATCCTTTTAAAATTTCGGTAATATTAATGAATTCATATCGGAAAAAGGAAGGAAATTATAATAATAATAATTATTATTACTAATTATTATCATTATTACTATTATTATCATTATTACTATTATTATTATTATTTTGTTATTAATTAAAGCATAAATTAGCAGTAAATTATAGAATTGAATGAATTTGAAATTACTCAATAAATGAAATTACCTCAAGTTTTCTTATCAACATGATATCGATAACAGCTGACTGAAACATTTGTTTAACCAATCCGTACTCATATTTTCGCTATTTATTTTTGAAAGAAAAATTCTATAAACCGAGAAAAGATTTTAAAAATAGAAACTTAATTAAATTTAGCAAAGGTAAAAATATGTGATCGTAGAAATATTGGAAAGTATCGAATGATAAGAATTAAAGGATAGAATAGAATGAATAATATTATAATGAAAAATATCATTTGAAAATAAATTTAAATAAAAATAATAAATCTTGAAAGATCTTTGCAGGACTTATTTATTTTCATTTGAATTCATTTTCAGTATTCATTAAGACAATGAAGAAATTCAAAGAGATTCATTGAGAATTTCAAATAAAATTTGACGGATAACTTAAAAGGATTTTTACTTAAATACTTAAATAAACGACTACTTAAATAAGATTAGATTGTATAAAATTAAAGGAATGAAAATGAACAAAAATGAATTTGATGTGGACAGATATGAATTTGTTGGCCAAAAGGTTATTGTTATTTAGAGGATAGAGGGTAGAAGGGAAAGTAGGAGGAAAAAGTACGGCTAATAGAAAACACAAATCGATAAGGCTTAGAAACAGAGATGAGAAGCGATGATGTATCGAGCCTTAAGGCTTTATGTTCATTTGGTAAAAAAGAAATGATATGGTTGTGAGAAGAAATTCATATTAAATTACATTTTATATTCGCTAAGCCTAAAAATTGAAACAAATTATTAAAGTTAAAGGAATAATAGGAAGCAATTAATTAAGTCATTTCTAATTATTACCAGCATTGAAATGGTTTTGTAATAGGATATATTTATTTATTATTGTTTATTTATTATTTATTTATTATTATTTATTATTTATTTATTACTATTTATTTATTATTATTTATCTATTATTATTAGACTGACTGATACGAATGTAGTAATTTCGCTTTCTCTCGTTCCACCTTTTTAGCTATATTAATTGTAAGACTATGAATCACTGCTATAACATCATTCCTTATCTGTAATATCAATTTCATAGGATTTTATAGGATGTGTGAAGATCTTTATGATACATCGTGGTGAGTAAATATTAATAATAAGAAGGTGTTTGTAAAATTTGTGTGTGTATGTGCACAGGTATGTAAGTGTAGATATGTTATATATTTATGTGGGTATGCGTATGGCTGTGTATGTATGTGTTTGTGTGTGTGTGCGAAAAAGTGAAAGAGTGCAAAGGTTACAATGGCATAAAGTCCTTCAAAGTGAAAGAAATTGTCAGTTTGATTTTAAGTTGTACATTTGTTGTCGCAGTTATTGTTGCATCAATTCTGTTTGCTGTCATCAGTTATAGTATAAATGGCGGAAAAGAACCAAGATATTGTTGATGGAAGAAATGCTTTGAAATACATATTTGCTCGGCCAATCGATGATTCGATATTTCGCAATAAACTTGGCCAATTATGTGCTTCATATCTTGGCGGTATTTGGACAATTGTATCAGATCAGGAAATTCGTATCGCTGTGCAAAGGTTAGTTTCATATTTTGTGACATAATTGAAATATTTCATACTATTAATTATTAGTCACATTTATTTTAAAAATTATAATTTAATCCATTTTAATGATTTAAATTGAAATTTTATAATGTATTAGTTTAATGATAATTAATAGACTAATTTTAGAGTGTTTTGAATTCGACTTATTGCCATAAAATTAAATTTATCTTATTTTAAAGTACAATAGTATGGAATTACGATTTGAAATACCTGGATCTGGCTAAAGAGCTAATGTTTAATTTACCTTTCATAAAAATGTTATTTATAAAATTTTAGAATTTTAAGTACCGAAAAATTAGATTCCAATTATTTCTTATTTTAAAGGCTTATTCATTGCAGCTTATTTTTAGGCCTAAATTATTCCTTATTTTATGCAAAAATAATTTTGTTGTGTTAATTGAAATTGTAAATTTATCATTAAATATTTATATAACAAATAGTAAATAATTAATAACATATATAGAGGTGGATTTAACAATAAAGTTTTTACGGTGGAAATGCCTAAAGGAATAAAAGCTGTATGTAATGAACCAGAAAAGGCAATTCTTCGCATCTATGAAAATATCGATGAAGACTGTGAATTACCTCAAGGCATTATTTCGGCTATATTAGCGGAACGGTTGTTTATTTATTTATCACTAATTTGCCCTATTGTTTACTTGCATCATAATTTTTGCACTATTATTCTCAGCTGTTTGAAAATCAGTAAACGAATTTAATATTTTGTAAAAGAACTACTATGCAATGAATTATGAATAGGTTAATTAACCTATTTATCAATTTACAAATTATCCTACTACCAGATTGTTTCCTATTCATTTCGGATCGAACAATCTGAAATAATTCGAAACAATATTTAATTAATTTAATAATTACCAAATAATTCACATATTTTTCTATTTATTTACTTTTGTTATTAATTATGCAATATCGCAGGCATTTGGGACCTCGTTTATTGGGAGTATTTCCCGGTGGACGCTTTGAAGAATATATTCTATCACGTCCACTTACAAACGACGAATATTGCAAACCTTGGTTTGTAAATTTTAATGTGCTTATTTAATACTTCCTCTGGAATGGTTTATTTCTGTGGAACGTATTTCATTTGGGAATATCCGTTATCTTTCTAAATTCCCAAATATTAGTTTGAATAAACAAGCTATTTTTGTTTCGGTATCGCACAAGAAGTTGGCCGAATTCTTGCACGAGTACATTCATTAGATATGCCAATCAATAAAACATATCGTTTAACACAATGTATGGATATTCTGATCGAAAAATTAAAAAATTCAAATCGATGGTCGAGAAGTTATCCAATGCATACTACCTTAGCAAAAGTTGATAAAGAACTTGTAAGTTATTATTACTATTGTTGTCACTCTTATTTTTGTTTCCATTTTACCTCTATTTTTCATTAATTTCTTATGATTGATATTACAGTACACAAATGTTAGATATTTTATTACAGTGTCCTGATCTTATAACGATCGATCTATTAATAAAAGAATTGGAAATATGCGAGAAATGTTTGGCACGAAGTGGTAGCCCACTTATTTTCAGCAATAATGATTTACATGTATTTTTTTTCTTCACCTTTCAAGATACAATTTATCCTGATTTCAATTCCAAATTTTCTACTATTAAATCAATTTGAATTCTGCGAAGTTTTTCGCAAACAGCGACGGAACTTGAGATATTATGCATATCTTCACGTGATTACGTTGTTATATCTTATTACGTTGTTCGCGTTAAGAAAGTCGGTCTTGCAACCTTTTTTGTTTTTAAATTCATTTAACGAAGAAAACTCAAAATGAAAGAAAGTATGGATTGGTTTGAAAATGATTTGTTGCTATATATCTTATAAGATAATCTTTTTGAATAATGTATGATACTACATAACTTATAATCCATTTTATAGTATTAACTTAAGAATTCATGTTATGTGAAATATTATCATTATGTATGGAAGAGAAGCAGAAAACAGAATAATCACTTTCCGATATATTTTCAGGAAGGAAATTTACTTTTACGTCATGGTATCGAGATTACTGATCAGGGCTTTGTCGGGAGGAAAGATGATAAAGACCCAATTATCCTGATTGATTATGAATATGGCTGTTATTATTATCGGTTTATTTTATCTGTTTTTTCCCCCCTCAAATTTGTAATATAATTATGGTGAAGATTGTAACTGAGGTGATATTTAGGACACCTTTGTACATAAATCATTTTTCGTATACATCGAAGTAATGTAGAAGAACTGAACAGAATTATGTAAGAATTGCAACATTGGTGAAATATGAATTCAAATTTATTAGGAAAGAATAATTAAATAAGTGAAGTAAATAATTCACGCAATATATTAGCGTTTTACAATCATCTTAGGTATACTTCTTAGGTATACGTTACACTTAAATATCATTGAATCAGTTCGTGAGAGTTTCAGAAGGATTTTTTTATCTATTAATTTACTTTTAAAAGAATCGTTAATTAACAATAATATATTTTATCTTAGTGGCTTCGACTTATGTCATTATTGCGTTGAATGTTGTCAACATAATGAAGGTAAGATATGGCCATATTATGAAATCAAACAGAATCAATGGCCCAATGAAGAAATTCAACGTTTGTATGTTGGTGCATATATCGATGAAGCAAATAAAGTTAATACAAACTTTTCTCCTCCTTTTTTTTTAACTACTGCTGAAAAATTGATAATCTAACAAAAATGCTACAACGATCGATAAATGGTTTAGAATTGGCAGAATTGTTAAGGTAAAAATATATATTACTGAAATGCAAAATGATAATTTGAAATATTTGAATGGAATGTTCTACAAATATATTTAATACATATATATTTGATATATGTTATGTTATATGTTAGTATAAATATATGTATGTTATAAATATATGTAAATATAAATATACGTATGTTAACATAAATATATGTTAGTACAAATATATTTGAGAACGAGAATATTCTAATTTTCACAGATTTAAATGATTCTGTTTAAAATGAACAATTCATTAAATGATTTGCATGAACAAGAATTAATTTACATAGGAATTATTTTTATGCTATATGGATGAATTATTTGCAAATAAAAAAAGGATAAATAATTTCGTTCAAATTGAAAGAATTTTCTTTTCTATTAAATATTCAGATTTGTCGTAATAGTAATGGAAAGAGAATTCGATGTATTAGTGATTTATCGGATGATCGTGAAATAGCAATTGAACGTTTGTTAAGTGAAATACGTCAATTTGCGGCATTCCCACAATTGTTCTGGGCAATATGGGCATTCCGACATGCTGATATTGAACATTGTGAATTTGATCATTTCGAATATGCATTCGATCGTTTAGCGATGTATTATTATTGGAAGCCGGAAATGTTGAAATATTTGAATCAGTAAAGGAAATTAGAAGAAATTTCTGATCAACTTTGTTTTTTTGCAGAAAAAGTAAATGTAACTCATTTTCTTGTAATTTTTAATTAACTCACTAATTTGTAGTAAAAAGCAATTTTTGATGATAGCACAAGTAATACTTACACTTATCCGCGATACTTTTGATGATAGCACAAATATCTACTGTATTATTTGTGTAAAGTACCTACTATACTTCACTTATCCTTTTGTTCACTTAGTTTCGATCTTATATTATATTTACTTCAGCAATTGTGAGAGTTTTAAAAAATCTCACAACATTCTCAAACTTCTTTATTTTCCTCATTAGTAATAGCTTACATTTATTAGATATGTATGATTATTATAAAGATTGTACTAATATATAATTTGGTTTTCTAAGTGACAAATGTAAAATAAAAAATTTCAAGATGGATCCAACTATATGACACACCTATGCATTCATTTTCATCAATACCGATAATTAATTAATTTTCTTTTCAACGTAGGAAAATTAAGATTTAGGCTGACTATTATCCCTCACGTTTTTTCTTATCATTACTTTGTGTAGAGAATGATAATGTTTTTTTATGCATATTAGTTTCTGTTAATTTATCAATACAAACATAAAAGTTACAGATATATTTGTTTCACTCATTCCAAATGTAATCCGCGCAATTTCAGTAATTAATTTGAACTCAAATCAAAGCAAATATTAATTTGCAATTATTAATTTCATTCTTTAATGGATGAAAAACGACTTTCATGATATTATTATTATTATTAATATAATAATGGAACTTTTCCGTAATTTTATAATTATTATTGCAAGCTGAGTCTTACATCTGTCGATATATAATAATAATGATAGTAGTAGGATTAATTAACATTCTCTAAAGTATGATAGAATATTTTGCTATATGTTCTAAATTTGCTTAATTAACTGAAGTAATAATGAAGAGAAAAAAAAGGAATGAAATCGATAAACATTCAAAAGAGTATATAATTGAGTAAATTAATGCTTAATTAAATCATTGAAAAAAAAAACCAAACAATTAATTAGCTAAACAGGTAGAAAGGTATGATTGATTCGATAGTTAATTCGTTTATTACATTACAACGAGGTTAAATGATTTGAAATGATAATGCAATGATATATATGATAAGGATCTTTCTCAAATGCTATTTTCATTTAAGCTATCAAACATTTTCAAAATCATTCATTACAAAATGTAAAAATGTAATTTGCTTTTATTTCAGTTTTCCTCATTTATAACAAACATATTGCAACAATGTTGCTGAAATTTCCCCTCTCATTTTAATTTCATTTTCAAATTAATAAATTTATTGTTTAATTCAATTATTACAAAAGAAAAAGAAAGGCATTGTTGCATAGAAATGGAATACTTAAATTTTAATTCAATTATAACAAAAGAAAAAGAAACATCATTGAATAGAAATGGAATTTAATTCAATTATAAAAGAGAGATATTATTCCGCAGAAATGGAATACTTAAATTCAAAAAAAAATTTGATAAAATTAATAATTTAATTACTCATCCTTTACATAATTTATTTATAGCAACAAAAGAGAAACATTATTGTATAGAAATGAAATTTGCATAATTTTCCTTTTTGCATTTAACAACGAAGCATTCGTTGTATGTTAAGGTAAATATAAGTTTTATCAAATTTTTTTTAAATTTAAATATTCCATTAAAAATTATTAAATTAATTAAAAAAAGATTGTTTTAAAGAAAAACAAAAAGAATGGGATAATATAATTTCAACAATTTATTCCTGAATTTTATTTTATTTTATTAATTATTGCTAATTACAATTATAATTGAATGTTCAAAAAAGCTTTATATTTTGCAATTTTGAATTTTATTTAATTAAAAAAAATTTATCCTCGAAAGATTTGATTTTTTTTAAAAAAAAATTAAACTAAAAAGAAAAATATATTTTATGAATTCCTATTCATAATGACAACCAAAGGATAAGAATTCATTATTGACAGCCTTTTTTCCCTATTATTGAAATTAATTCTTATTCTCATAAATTCTACACCGAAAGTAATCAATAATTTCATATTTTAAGACATCATATTAAGAGAGAGAGGGAGGGAGGGAGGGAGAGAGAGAGAGAGAGAGGGGGGAACGAATAAAAGATGTGTTTGTAGTAATTTCCCATTCTTCCATTTTGATGTAATTGAAAATCGACAAAGTTATAAAAACAAAAAAGAAAGTTCCATCCTCGGTTTTTTTTAAATGATTTATAATTCGTTAAAATGATCGTAGAAAATGAAGCAAAAATGATATAGATGAGATAGAGAAGATAGCGGGGAAGACGGGGAAACGGGAAAACAGGGAGCGGGGAGCGGGGTGATTACGAAAAATGGAAAGGGTAAAAAAAGATTAACATGGCTGTCATTGAATTATCTTTGTTTTTTTTCCATACACTTCAGCTTGCTTTCTTAAATTCTCTCATCGTTCATTCAACGCATAATAGTCTCCACATATTTTGAACATGAATTAAATGAGGTAAAGACGATAGCGGGGGAAACGGGAAAACGGGAAAACAGGAAGACGGGGAGCGGAGAGCGTGATGAATACGGAAAATGGGAAGGGTAAAAAAAGGATTGGCATGGCTGTCATTGGATTATCTTTGTTTTTTCCTTCTTTCCATAAATACACTTTAGCTTGCTTTTTTAAATTCTCTCATCTCTCATTCGAACGTATATACTCTCCACATCTTTTTGAACATTCCTATTTTGAATATTTATGATGTCATTTTGGTTTATTTAAAATTTAGGAAATAGTTTTCCTGAATTATCAAATTTAATCCATTTCAATTTTTGTTTGATTTACTAACCGGTAAAAGATTTATTCCAACAGAATTTTTTTTTAAATTCATTTTATTAATTATTTATAGGCTATTTCTTATTTTCCGACTCATTTCAATAATTATTTTCTTTGCTCTTTTTATCCATTCTTCTTAATTGTAATTAATTATTTATATGAGATTATCATTTTACTATTCAAAAAATTTTTCGCTCACATAAATATATTCTCTTGGCATTATTGCCAGCATTATCGTGATAGAAAAGCAAAGCAAAAATTTGAAATAAAATAAATTTATTGCTTCTTTAACATTTTTCAACTTCTTTTTTCTCTTTTTGCATTTTTGAATTGAAAAATTTTATTTGTTAAAAATTCGTTCAAATTTTATGATACGAAGAGAAAATACTAAAATTAATACTAAAATGAATTATTTAATTACAAAATTTTCTTTGTTTCATTAAATGAAAATTTATTAAAATTAATTATTTAATTTCAAATTTTCTTTGCTTCATTAAATGGAATTTTACTAAAATTAATTAATTTCAAATAAGCGTTTTTTTCTTTCATTAAATTTTACCTTTTTCATATTCAAATAAAAGATAAGTTATAATATTATCCTAAAGTTCATTTATTAAATTAAAATAAATTAAATGATCTTTGATAAAGAGTATTTTTTTAATTTTGAATTTTAATGATTTGTTAATATTGGATATTGGAAAAGAAGCGATAATTGTTAATCAGTAAGTAAATACAATTTTAATTTTAGATATAATTTTACAATAGTTTAAATTAAATTATCAAATACTTTTTATCACTATCTTTTTGTCAACATTTATCAATATCAAATACTTTAGTTATTTTCATGAATAAATTAACACTATGTTAAAATTTTATATTTGTCAGCCAGCATTTTACTTCTTAATATTCTTTTATTAGTAATGTGAGAATAAATTTTTGCTGTATATTTGCACTGCTGGCAATAATTACAACTTAATAATTTAATCGTTCATTCTTATTTATTTCTTTAATTTTAAAATAATTTAAATTAAATTTTACAAAATGCCTATTCAAATTATATTATATTATATTGTATTATATTCAAATTATATTTATTATATTATATCATTATATTATATTATATTATATCGGATAGTAAATTTTGAAATTGATTTTTTATCAATTTAATTCGATGTTAAATTGAGTTTTTCAGTGTATTAAAGATAATAATTATTATCAGTACATCATTTTTCACATTATTTACATTTCAAAAATGAAATTCTTTAATTTCTAACATTTCACTCATTCATTATAAATACTGAAATTTAATGTGAACAAAAAAAATTAATTACACGATGAAATTTCCTGGAAAATAAATTAAAATGGCTGATAATAAATATAAACATTAGTGATAAATCATTCATCACTTTCATTAAGTATAAATTTAACTATAAATTTGTTTAAATTTAATTATCAATGAAATATATTTATAGTATCAGAAAATTGAATGGAATAATTTTTGCAAACGATTATTGATTCTATGTGAAATATGTAATTAAATATTTGTTGAAATTATAAATGAGAATAATCTTTACTGAAAATATGAAAGTATTAAAAAGTATTATAATGCATATTTTATGCTATCTCAATCAATAATATTTAAGAGTATTCTAATATGAATTTAATAATTTTCAATATTATCAATATAATTTAGGAATTTTATGAAAATTCTAAATTCGCAAATATTTTTGCGAATTTAATTTAATTTAATTTAACTATAAAAACTGGAAATTTCATTCATACCAAATTTTACATTCTCTTTATAATCTTATTTTCTTTCATAGTTTTCTTACAAACTAATTAATTGTCATTCATTAACTTTTGTTTTTCATCCATTTTTTCATTCTCACATGTTTTTTCCCATTTTATTGGAAGAATGCAAATAAGTCGTAAATGAGCGGAATATTGACTAAGCCAAAAATTTTCAGGCCAACTAACTAACAAACAAATCATTGTTTATAATCAATAAAAACAAATGAGTAAATTAGGAGGAAATAATTCATTGTTGAAATTCTCACTGATACTATCAACATGGATTCCAAAAATATTTTATTCGGTTTTTTTTTCCATTTACTTTTGAAAATTTAAATTTCTCCAACATTCCATTTC